AATGATACTGATAAAGCAGGTATAATGCGGCAATGCAGGAGAAGTCTGGAGATGCATGCAAACTGTGTGGGCTGTGCCTGCAATGCAGCACTGTCTTATATGAGAGATGTGATCAGACTACTTTTGGTTTATATACAGTAGGCATAAAGCAGTAGTAATTCTCCCCATTATATTCAGCTGCCACTACAAAACTATATGTTACAGATTAATCTATGCTTTATCCTCCATTTGCCTGCAGGGCTGTGTTCTAGGTGTGAGATGATTATTATGAAAACAGGGATCTACATGTACACAATGCTAGTTTAAATCACATAATCTAGCTTTCTCATGTGATATCTGGTAGCATTTTCAGAATGCTGAAAACAAAAGCAGAACTGGAGGTCCGGTCTATGGCAGCGCACTGAGCAGTCACACCTCCCAAACCTCCCGGGGGTGAAGCTGCGCTCTGGCCAAAGGAGGGGGTGTGCAGGATCATCACACACCCCCAGAGACCCGGCTGAAGGGGCTCTGGCCATGGGACTCTCAAGGGGTTGCCTCTTTGCCGGCGCAATGCTGGGGAATTGAAGCGCCTCTCCGTCCTGAAGGTTCTTCGTGCTATGAGACCGAATGGAACCAAGCGATGCTAACCGGAGCAAGTGTAGGAGGTCGAGCGAAAGAAACAGAGCTTAAACGAGGTCTGAGGACCAACTATGAATGTGGGTTTAATCTAAGCATTTAAATAAAAGGAAAAGGAAACTCCCCAACACCCCCCACGGAACAGAAAGTGAGGCGAGCAAGGGAGGGACGCCTCCCAAACACACATACTTAAAAGCGAATTGGAGGGGAGGAGCGGAAGAAAAAGCGAATAAAACTGTTAAGAAAGACTTACCAAGGCGAGTTCGAGCGTACAAGCACATATTCAGAGACTTTTAAAATATTGGTTAAAGTAAACAATCCACAAAGATGGCGGGGAAGAGGACGGAGAAAGAGAAACCTTTAAAAGCGAAAGGGACTGAGAGCCCAAGACCGGAAGCAACCAGCGAGCTGGCAAAGACATTGGCGGAATCCATGCGCCCTCTGCTGGACCAGATAAATAATCTCAAGCAGCAGTTGTCAATAATGAATCAATGTATCACCACCCAGCAAAATCAGTTGAGTGAGACACTTAAAATCAAGGATAAAAAGGAAAAGATTGACTCTGTTCAGAAAGCACGGAAATTTTTGAGAGTCCAGATGGGAGAGCCAGAGGAGGAAGAAAAAGAAGGGATGGACAGTAAGTCCAAAGGACTCTGAATTGTGCCTTTGAAAAAAACGTTTTTTTCTTTGATACTAGATGCTTAGGGGTTAACAGTGATAGTTAAGATATGAAAAAGATAATACTATAGTTGAATCAGTTCATAATGGGATTAGCGTGATTGCTAACTAGATGATCTCCTCTCTTGGGCTTTTAGATAGTAGTGGGTATATTTTCTTTATCCCTTAATGTAGTCCCCTTCCCTATTTCTGTTGCAGTTTGTAGTCTTTATAAAAATGCAATTAAAAAAAACAAAAACAAAAGGAGAACTGGACTTTTAAAAGTCTAGGTTCCTCGTTTGGAATAATGCTTGTATCAAAAGGAGTTGACTTTTAAATTATTATTGCACATTGTTAGGCTTAGGAATACTTTAGAGTCATTTTGTATGGTAAACCCTCTTCAGGACAAAGATGCCATACTGAGCCCTCTACATTCACATGATGAAGGTGTACATTATGAACTAGCTAAAGATCTAGCAAGTTTGCCAGGTTGGGTGGGGGGGTTGATGAATAGTTCCCCCAGATCCACTTTGTTTCACATTAGTTCTACAAGCACAGTTGATGTGATTCTTGCACATTACTGTGCTCAGTACAATGATTTCCATGATTTGTGAAATAAAGAGATATGGGGGGATCTCCACCCATACCCTCTCTCATCCATCACTGAGGCTGTTTTCAATCACAGTGCCACCTCTGTGACCCCAATGAAAATCACTGGCTATGGCATCCAAGATATGATAAAGAGAGAAAGAATTCTTCCTCATGTCTGTAACAGAATGGTTGTTTGGAATTGGTGGGGAGGACACAGAGCTTTGGATATAAATTGTCCCCTCCCATGTAATCTTTAAGAGGCCTTCTAGAAAGACCTCTCACTCTGTTAATGCAGGGAAGTGGCCATGTTGCTAGTGGCCAAGTGGCCCATTTTCAGGCTTAGTAGGTAATATGGTCCTCAAGGGCAATGGTGGCCATTCATTTGTATAGGAGGGGGGAAAGAAAGGGCAGTCAGTCAGTCACACCACTGAAGTGAGGATTGAACCATCTCCCTCCTCCTGGCACCCCTACCCATTCTGTTAGCTGTGTTGCTTAGCGTTCCATTCTGGATTCCACTCCTTATAGTGAGATGAAACAGAAAATATATGCAGGAAATTGGAGCAAATAAATGATTGTAAAGAAGCTGTTCCTGGACCCAGAAGGAGGGAGAGAGTTCTGGTAGTCCCAGGACTCATGCGTGTATGTGAGGAGTTGTTCTGGAAATGAGGCACATCATAACAATTATCTGGATACTTAGACATCTGTTGTTTTCACAAACTGGCGTACTAATATCTGAGAAACAATCTGCCTGACTAAACTTCTGCGATGGCTTATAAAGAAGACGACATTGGGTTTAGACCCTGTCCTTCACTTGGAGTCTCAGAGCAGCTTACAATCTCCTTCCCTTCCTCTTCCACAACAGACACCCTGTGCGTTAGGTGGGGCTGAGAGAGTTCTGAGAGAACTGTGAGTGACCCAAGGTCACCCAGCTGGCTTCATGTGGAGGAGTGGGGAATCAAACCCGGTTCTCCAGATTAGAGTCCGCCGCTTTTAACCGCTACACCAAACTGACTCTCTACACCAAAGCTAAGTAACTATGTGTAAAAGTTGAGTGGCGGTGGTGGTGGTGGGGGGAATAAGTGATGGGGAACTCCACTATAATGCTGTAGCATTCTGATTTAGGGGCTGGGAAAGCTATCTTTAAACCTACTGAAACAGTACATGGAGGGGGTTTAAAGGGCTTATCCCCTAGTTCCAGTTCCTCTTGCTTCAGAACCCATAAAGTTACTTATTAGTCTAAATACACCTTTACCATCACAATTACCATAGCAAATACCCCCCCCCAGCAGTAGACCTTCTTAACTCACAAACATAACACTGCTGGGAAAAGAAACTCGAGTTGAGACTGGAGTAATTTCATCTAGGATTGCAGTGACATCAACAGCAGAAAAAAATGCTGTTTGGTTAAAAAAAAACTATTATAAGTTGCTTACAGTTCCATGGGGAAAGATAAACAAATAAATGCACTGGAATAGGAAACACATACTCCCCTGAGATGTGAAGATCATGTTAATTTCTATTTTGCTGGTTATTTAATTATTGGAGTGGCAAACCAAGTTGCCATTTATGAAGGCTATGTATTTACTGCATTTCTATATTTCTTTGCCTGGTTGCTCAAAGCAATTCACAATCTCCATAACAGCAACAAAAAAGAAAGAAAAACGGAAGCCTGGCATATTTAACATTAACACAATTAAAACTAGATCAGGGGAAAGCCTGCCTAAATGAGACAGCTTTATTCTGCTGTCTGAACTGAAGGAGAAGATGCAGGAACCGCTCTTACTTCAACATGCAGCCTTTTCCATAAGGATAGGGCAGCCAGAGAGACCATTCTTGCTCTGCCAAAGATGTTTACCTCCTTTAGGGAAGAAAGACACCAAACCTTTCTTGAGGGTCTTCATGTTTGCCTGGGAACATATAATATTTCCATAATACAAATTTTTTTTTGGGGGGGGGGTGTTCAGCCCATGTATTTGTTTACACACACATGTGGAAAACACCACGTGTACGAGGGCACTTGTGCCTATGAGCAGACACACTTTCCAGGTGTGGTGTACCACTCAGTGTGAGAGCGTGAGAAAAAAAGGCTTCTGTGCCTACAACTGTGGATGGAAGGCAGCTGCCGCGAAAACATGTGCGTGTGTATGACGTGTGTGGGAATAAGCTTTGTGCACGCAAAACACAGCACGGTTTAAAAAAACAAAAACCAAAGCCAGTTTCGCCGTTGTGTGCTGCTGAGTGCGCCGCGACAAGCCTGGCGTGTGTGAGCCAGTTCATGCGCGCTGCCTTCCTCGCTGCTTCTTGCCAGGCGGAGAGAAGGCGGGCGCCGTTCCCGAAGCCAGCGCACTATGAATTAAACAACAAGGCACAGGACTATTCCTAGCTTGCAGTTCGCCGTAGGAGCGCTAGGGCCCTGTGCGTGCGTGTGTATCTATAGCCATCTTGTCTATATATAGCACTCCCTCAGCGCAGCGGCAGGGCTATCCCTTCCCCTCCCCCCACTCCCTTTCAGCTTCTGTGATTGAGAAGCGAGCCGCGCTCTCCGCCCCTCAGCAACAGCGACGCCGCCTCTCTCTCTTTC